TACCAATCTTTTATAAATTATAAAAATTACATGTACAATGTGGCAACATTCTATAAATATAACAGTTATTTTCATTTGACTTTTCCTGATGGTCAATTAATGAGTGGCTGAAAACATTCAAATGATGAATTTGGGGGTGTTTTGCTGGAAATTTGACATTTAGGTAAGAATCTATTAATACAGTACTACAATAAAATATTTTTAGAATTCCACAACCAAAAAAAATCATTTTGTACAATTAATACCGTTTAAATTCAACTGGAAAATACAAAAAAAAAAACATATATTTTGCGAGCTAAAAAATTTCCTCTCCGCTGACTGAAACAGCAGTGTGCAGACTGGCGGGACTCTATTGTAGAAGACAAGGGTATCCTTATAGGGTCATCCACTTCTGGAGATGTAGTGGCAGTAGCATGCCGAGACATTTGATGATAGGGAAGTTGTGTTTCTGTAAGAAGCCGACTTACAGGGACAATCAGTTAATTGCATGTCATGGTTCATTTGTATTCGTTTCTTTGATAAGCCAGTAAAAACTGTACACTTCTTTAAATGTATTTTTAATAGATTATCTGACATACTTAATAAATAAACAAGTTCAATATAATTACCTCCATTATTAGATTCAATAGGTTCCCTCTGCCTTCTAAATGCCAATTCTTGCTTTGATAAAAAACATATAACATTTATTAGTTATATCTATTAGCCGTAATTATCTTGTTATAATTTTCAATATTTATTTTATATTGTCTACTAATGTAAAATTCAATTCTATTCTGCATTGATTTCCAAATTGCTTCAATTTTAGAAAAGAATGGATATGACATTTACGACTTTCGTGTCTTTTTTTTTCAGCTTTTCTCAAATTATTTAAATTGTCAAAGCCATTCTCGTTCCACATGCTAATTTCATTTGAAAATAGTAGGCAAGGCCAAGAAAACAATTTTTGCATTTCTACGCATCCACAAAGCCATCTTATGACTTCATAAATTTTATTGTGAAAATGTCAAACAAATTTTTTTGTTGACGTATTTATATTTAATTTAGGCATTAGTCTTTCTCTTTTAATGTTTTCTTTTTCATTATATGGTCTCAAGCTAAAACTTAAATTTTCAATAACACAATTATATTCTGAATTGATAAGGGCTAAAATTGAAAATAAATATTGTACAAACTTACTTGGTGAAATAAACTGTGTGATGGATATACATACCTGGTACAAAATATTCTTCAATTGTATGAATATACTTTTAAAGAAAATTATAATTAAATATAGCTTTGTAAAGAAACGTACATAAAATAACATAAAAGTCTTCTTTACTTTTTAAATCTTAAAACAATCCACTTAGTCAAATAGCTCCCTATGAGTGGAATCAGAGGCGGTTCTGCTAGGTGCATGCATGCAAGCTGCCAAATCCCGAGGGTGTCGATACAGGTCAATGTCAAATGCCTCTTGTCACATCACTAGTATACCTCAAAAGACGTGGCAGGGTTGTTGTAAATTTTAAACATTTCTTGCCATAGCTGTAAAAATCTAAATATGTTAAACTTAATAGATTGTCTGTCGTTTGTTTTCTAACTAATTCATTTTAGGATTAGATGTCTACGAAAATTTCCAAAATATACAACTTTTCGGTCACACTCATTTAACTGGAAAAATTTCTGTCTTTATTACATCTAATATTACGAAGAAATCAGTCCCCACTGTATTCGGCTAGAGATTGGTTCAGTTAAGCTTTTGTTTAAATAAATTCTGGCTCTTTTAGCGGGATTTGATTTATGTCCCTAATCTCTTAATTACTTATCTACTTCTTAAATAGAAATAAGTCAAAACTAGTTACTTCATACTTGAATATTTGTAGTCTCAGGGAAAAAAGTAGAAAGACAAATTGTTATGACAATGGATACGTAAATTGTAAATTTAAGGTATAAAAATTGTAAAAATAAATTCTAGAGGTTTTTCTGTATCTCTTGCATCTCTCTCATTCATTAAATTTAGTTGTAAATGATGCTGCCAGAGTAACAGTTCATTTTTTAACATTGTACAAGAATTGTACACTTTTTTTCCTGAATATCCTTATAGATGGGACATACCAAATCGTAATACAGTAGAACCTCGAAAACTCGGCCTAATGTGGACCGAAGGGTGGCCGAGTTTGTGAAAATGCAAGATGGGAGAGCAGAATAAATATATCAAATATTTTAATGGATTTTTTTTTAAGTAAACAGAACTATCATAATCCAACCAATAGGAATTTACTGGTATGTTTTTAAGTTATAGGTAAATCTACTCGTGATTCACATAATGGGCGAGGGAGGGCAGCCAAATATCTAGCAGGTGGGTGGCTAACAGCCCAGAACCGGTTCTGGATAGAATCATTGGAAGCGTTGTGTATGTAGCTTCCACCATGATGTTGGTGCTCTGTAAAATGCATGTGTAAATGCCTATAATCTGACTGCTTTACACCATTCAAATATTCGTTGTGGAAGCTGTTATGTATTTGACAATACAGCACTTCCATTAGGAATATCCATATACAAATTTATATTTGAATATACAGTTGCAATCTTATCAGTTTTTTTCACATGTAGTATAGAAATTTGTAATAAGATAGGTTCAAATATAAATAAATTTTGTGCGATTATTTTCATATTTTAGAAAATACAAGGAAGCGGCACTTCCACCGCTTCCAAGGACAGCATGCCAATGTGTAGTGGTGGTTCTTTACTAGGTAGAATATAAAAGTCCTTGTGTTAGGAAATTTAGTATGAATATTAAACTTATTCTTATGCATGTTGATGAGTTAGTTATTTGGAAAAATCAACGTAACGTTAGTTATTTGGAAAAATCAACGTAACGTTAGTTATTAAATTGCATTAACAAAAATGCTGCAGGAGTATTGCTTTCTGTATTTAATTAATAGCAGCTTTTACAAAGTTAACCTCTTAGAGGTAACAATCATCTACTTACCAGTCTTTCATAAATCCACTGCAATAGATTCCTATGTTCATTGGGAATCTAACAACAATGCATTTCACCAATTAGCAGCCTTTAGGATACTAGTATCCAGGACAATAAGTTTTACAGATATAGATAGATAGGAGGAGGAGGAGATTCATATAGTAGGATCAAAACATGGCGTGGCAAAATTTTGTGGTTTTCTTGACAGTATAACTGACATCACAAAGTTCATATAAATAAAATTTGTCACAAGAGAACATGAAAGATGATGAACAAATAATGGTCATAACAGGAAGATCTACAACAGCTCTCTTTGCAAGGTAGGTAGTGCACCATCAGTAATGAGCATTATCTGTTAAATTTCATTCACAAGATATGCTGAATAATATAGGAAAGAATGTGATGCTGTTGTGTTAGCTGAAACCTTTCTTATTAGTAAGAACTTTTTAGTCTGTCAAGTTTTACTAATTAGAAGCATAATTGATACTGTTAACAAGAAATTATTTATTGTGACATTGTCACAATGCCCTCAATTTTAGTAATGTCTTGGCCCCACACATAGTACTTTTCCCGTTATCAATGGAGTGATGCTGGTCATCTATGTAATACTGTTACAGAGAGAGTTTTTGAATTGAAATGACTTGAAGAAACCATTTACGGGGCCTTCTGTTCCTAATCTTTCCATATCTGGTCTTGACTTTCATCTATCTTACTCCATTCTCAAGATTAAGGAAAGAGACAAGTGGATGCCAGTGGGAATTTATAGCTTCAACCTTTGTAAATAGACTGGAAATAACGGTTGAAAACGTTTGTAGTATTTTTAAATATTTTGCTGGTCATTTAAGGTTGAAGAGAGTGTGGTGGGAATTTATAGATTACAATTTTAAAAATTGCAGCTCAGCAATTATTACTTCTCTTTATATTGTTAATATCATGTTAAGTCTACATCACATCCTGCTTGTTCTCATTTTGGGAATGTGCTATTGTGACTACTCTTTGTTTTGCTCTAAACATGAACTTATATTAGTCATTATTCAGAGTTCTTGTTTGTAACATTGGAGTTCATGTGATATCAGTGGAGCTTTTTTGTTTCATTTATGGTAATTGCTTTGCAAACATGGCTCAAAAATGCCAAGGTAGTAATTCTGGTGGTCTGATAAGTAAAAAAAAAAAAAAGCCTTAAAATGTCCATTTTAAAGGGGAAAAATGAAAATTTTATGTTTAATGAGAGAAGAAAGTTGCTTCTGAAAATTTTTTAGTTATGATAGATTATATCATTCTGTTCATTGTTAAATAAGGCAAACACTATGTTAAATTTAAAAAAAAAACAGCAAGAGTTGCATAACTTTCCCGTCAAAAGAACTTAAAATTGTATGATGCCATTTGTCCTATTTTATTAAACTTTTTATATTATTAATTATTATAAAATGGCAAAAAGCTTAATTTTGAGGGTAGAGATGAGTTTTATAAAAAAAAAAATTGTGAATGCTAATAAGTAAAAAAAAATCTTATGTCTTGACCTTACTTCAGATACATGTGGACCCCCTCTACACTCTCTTGATCTTCAATTGCCAAAATTTAATAGCATCAATTTCCTAATGCACAAACCTTGCTGCAAAATTCAGAAATTTTCAACAAAAGGCACATGAGTTATTCTTCAAAGTTGGTGAACAAAATTGTGCCTTGTACACTCACATTCTCATTTACACTAATATCCATACATACAGAAAACCTGCAACTTTTTGGCATTTCAAGATCCAAGTCCAAAAATTAAAAACCTTGGTCTTTTTTCCTACTAATTACCATATTTTTTCCTTTGCTGTATATAACAACTGGGAAAGTAAAAATGTGTGTTAGGTATGTTAATGTAGGAAATAATTAAGAGTTTGCTATCTTATGCCTATTTCCACTTGAGGAGAGGCCTTGGAAGTATGGCTGGGCCTTACTGTATATTCATACACAACTTTAAATTTCTTTTCAAGAATTATTCATATTTTTGTCCTTGCTTATGAAGTCATGTAATGTAAATGTTATATTTCAGAGATGCTGAAGATGCTGTCCATGCAAGAGATGGTTATGATTATGATGGTTATAAATTAAGAGTAGAATTTCCTAGAGGAAATGCACCAGGTAGGGGAATGGGTTCAAGGGGAAGAGGTAGAGGACCACCTGCTAGAAGATCACAATACAGAGTATTAGTTTCAGGTAAAACTATTTTTACTATTTTACTTACTTGATTATGTATTATCAACTTCTGGCCTGATTAATTTTCACTTTTTTTAGGTTTGCCACCAACTGGTAGTTGGCAAGATTTAAAAGATCATATGAGAGAAGCTGGTGATGTTTGCTATGCTGATGTTTATAAAGATGGTACAGGTGTCGTAGAATTCCAGAGATATGAAGATATGAAATACGCAGTTAAGAAGTTAGATGATTCAAGATTCAGATCTCATGAAGTGAGTTTTTTTTAAAATATAGTCATATTTTATAAATGATTGTATTAGTCTTCAGCCACATTGATTTCAACATACTTGTTGTCAATGCCATTTTGAAGACAAGATAAATATCCTGAATAGGAAGCAATTTTGGGACTTGATAGCCCTTTATTGTGCCATTTGAAGGGATACATATATTTAAAATTTATTACTATTCAATTTAATTAGAAGTCTCACAACTGTGACATTTTTTAGGGTGAGGTATCCTATGTCAGAGTAAGAGAAGATTATAATGGTCGTTCCAGATCCAGAAGTAGAAGTTATTCTCCTAGACGAACTCGAGGCTCGCCTACTTATTCTCCTGCTCTTCGCTCACGATCTGGATCTCGTTCGCGTTCTCCTTCAAGTTGAAATTGTGGAGAGGAAAGCTGGACTCATACTGGAATCGTGGAGGTGATAGTGTGAACAGGTTTTAGGACTTAAAATGAATCTTGAAATCTTTAAGCATGAAGCATTTGGTGTCATTTAATTTCATATCATTGTGAATTGTAATGCATTAAAATCATAAGCATATGTGTATGAATAATTGATATTTACCGTAACTATTGTAGTCATGATTTAAAATTTTATTGCTTGAATTTAATGTGATGTAAGGAAGGAATGCACCTACTAATTTCTATTATTAGTAGGTTGTAAAAAATTAAAATTAGGTAACATGTATAATGTAGTTTTTTGACACCTTAAATGAGTATAATTGTTTGTAAGCTAAAGAATTGCAAAATATCTTTGAAACATCTGTCATATTTTTATATGTTAAAATTTTTTGTATTAGTGTTATTTCATGTTCTAATACTTATACTTGTACCTGTCTTTAGACTATGTATGGAAACTCCCTGGATTGCCACCTCGCATGGCTATACAGTGAGGAATAAAGGATTATATATTGGAGGATTGGATCTGCCCTGGATCAGTAGGGAAATGGATACATGGATGTGCATGAAATAAGGATGGATAGGAAGGATATAAACACTTAAATCGAGGATTAACGGAACAGAACTAATCATAAGTGGAACATTACACACTTGCCACATTCGGAAGTGTTAGTTGATAAACACATAAAGGGGAGTCACTACCTGGAATATATATGGGCAGTATTGGATGGATCACAACAGCTTTCATTCCTACTTTGCAATAGGAGAAGTCAGGGAAAAGAAATGGGAATACACAAAGGAGTAGGACTTGAAATAAATGACTTTTTTCATGTGGGATTTGCACACAGGAGGATTCTCAGGAGATACTCTGGATCGAGGGATTGGGAGAAAGCATGGATGCGCCGTGGGACAGAGGGTATGAGTTTCAATAACCATTTTTTTGCCCATATACATTCATTTTAAACATATTTGCTCTCACCAGTAATTGGACATTACAGTTTTACACATTTTTAAATCTTAATATTGTATTTAAGAGGGCTAAATTTTAAGTAACTAATCTTCACTGTTACATAATTTTTGAACGTCTTAATATTAAATTCTTTAAGAATTTAACACATATGGGGATGAAATTTAATTGATCAGTTCCCTTATCCTATGGTTGAGAGCTTAATATTTTGACTATTAAAACCAGTTTTAAATTAATAGAAATTTGAGATTAGCTTATCCATTTACTAATCAATTGTTTATATTTACATTCTGTTTAAACAAAACCATCTATTGATTTGCTTAAAGTTGATACTTAAATTCTTAATTTGTAGTAAAACATTGTGAGGATCAAGTTGAGGATCTTTGAAGTTACATTTTCAAGACTTCAAACTTTATTAGGAGATTCCTCGTAATATAGGATGGTGGCAAGAAGATAGGATTACAAAAACTGGATTACAAAAAGTAGCCATAGTTTTAGCATCAATTTAGAAATCTATATGCTATTTTAAATTATCTGAATCACAATCATTTTCCATTTAATTTTTTTTCTCAATTTATTTATTTAAAATTTTATACTTTAGAATATTTTTTTCTCTTAAGTGTGACATTTATGAAAGTTACTTTGAATGAATTATGAAATAATAATTTTGTGTTTTGGCTACCTCAGATGATGTGAATGGTGGTAAGTAAATAAGGTAAGCTTATATAAAATTTTAGGAAATTGTTATTTAGAAAGAGTTGTTCATTTTTCTTATCCTAATAAAATCTTTATTGATCTTTTAATTAAACAGGAATACCAACAAGTTTAGAAGTTATATAGAACATAATAATAAATGCTTGTTTTATAACAAAATATATGAATTTGGGATACGAAAAATGAATACTTTTTTTTTGTTCTTAATGATCCAGTTCTTAATCTATGAGTATACAATGGGATGAAATTTTATGTTAAATTGTGAGATATTGCATTTAATGAAAGTTGCAGGTGTATAGTTTGATTTATTGAATTTGATGTATTATGTATGATTTCTGTTCTACTACTACTATTATTACTCAGTAGTAGTAGTAGAACATTTCAATTTTGAAGTATATTTAAATATTTAGTTGATTTATTGGTAGAGCTGGTCAATACAAACATTTTTTCACTGTATACAACCATTTTCATTAATATGCTTAAATATGTGAAAACCAAGTTATAATTGTGGAAACTATTAAATTAGGAATACATATATATTGATTAAATAGGTATCATTACCTTGTTAACGTTTTAAGTATAGTACAAAGCTGATAGAAAAACCTACTATTATGATATTGTTTGTGAAAGAAAATTAATTTTACAATTTATATATACAAAATATTTTTGGCATTGCATCATATTAAAACCATTAAAATTGTACAGAAAATAAAATTTACAGTTAAATAAGATTTCAAATACTAATTAACAGGTCAAAATTACATTCAAAAAATTTCTTACTAATCAAAATGATTGATGCATAAAAAAATAATACTTGTAATATGCATCTCAGTGATATCTTAGCTGTAAAAAATTTACTTTATAAATAGCTATCATTCTGAAACATTTAAAACTGCAACAAAATATTACTTTTTTTCTTTATGAATTAAAAAGTATTCATTAGTTTGTAAATAATGTTACGTGTGTTTTGATGCTGGTGATAAATTTTAATAATTATACATTAGTTAGCGCATGCTTTTCCTTAGTGTTAAGTGAGTTATCAGTGGGGACACTAAATAGGGTGAGTATAATATTATCTAACTAAATTTTGTTTGAGAAAATTAGTTTTAGATAAATCTTTGATATTCAGTAGTAAGGTTTCTTAACATAAAAATGCTTTACCAGTACTAATAATATATCCTTAAGGGGTTAATTAATTATCAGCATTTTCTCACAAAAAATTTAAGAAAATTTATATAAAAAACATGGTAGTTTTAAGATAATTTTATATACAATGTTTAGATCCATTCTAAACATAAATATTCTTTCATTTGAAGAAATGTTAATTTTAAAGTAGAAATAAACCCCTTAAGTACTCCTAGAGACTCTCCTAAAAATGTTTGTGTTATGGTCAAGATGAACCTGATAGTTTACTCAATGTAATGTTTTAATTGAATTAATAATGATCTAGCATTTATTCATTATTAAAATTATTGTGTGAAGGTATTTTTTCAAAACTATATTAAATCTAGAATTTTAATTTTTAAAGACCAATGCTTAAATCAAATGAGAGAGTTTTGTCCATTTTGTGAAAAAGAAACTTGTACTATACATTCTTTTCAGACATATTCAAGTTAATTGTATTAGCAAATACAGTATAACACAACACAGTATAAGTGACAACTTTCAATTTTATTATAGAAAATTTAACAATGCTTTTCAGACTTCTTTTAGTGTACAGAAGATTAATTTTGATCAAATGACTGTGATTTGATCTGTTTGAGAACAGTTTTAACATGACATATGAAACTTGATTTTAATTCATTGTCAATCATCAAAATGCGTACAGAAAATCGGATGTTGAATTAATTGATCCCTAAAATAATCTAGTAGATGATTAGACATCAATCGATTGAATTTATGATCATACTTCCGCCGAATTGATTGGTGGTTTTAAATGTGGCTGAAAGCTTTTGTTAGATATGGGATTTCATATTATAATTAAATACAAAACTAAGGAGGTGAGGGGTTTTTCATATGGAATGTGTTTTTACTAATTTTACATACGCAAACAAAATGTTAAGTGGAATATGTAATCTCTTTGTGATAGTTCACATACATCTGTTGTATCTGAGAACTATGAATTGTTTTCATTTCAATAATGAAAGTTCTGAGCATTAACAGCAAAATGTTTCAAAATTTTCTACCTGATTCCGAAGAGAGTAATTTTATGCTGTTATGCGCATGGCCCACTTTTGAAACACGTAGACATGGAATATTCAGTTCATTAGTTTGAATTCTGAAAAGTTTAATCTTGCTCATCGTAACAAAATGTAAGTGTGAAAAATTGAATAATAAATCCAGAAAGGAGCATAAATCTATTTAACATTATTTACAATCCAGATTTTTGCTAAATTAATCGTTAGTCTAACATACACAGAGTCCAGAAGTTAGAAAGCGTGTAATTAGTAATATGTTTACACGAATTTTCATATCTCGTTCAATAATTATCCTTTATTGATTTATGATAAAGTACAAATCACGTATATAATATTGTTTGATATAATTGACTTTCTAATCTACTTTTGTCTGTTAGCACTTTTAAATCGGTGCCAATAGGTGCGAAATTGATTGATTTGATGATAACGTTCGTGTAAATGGATTTTATAATTATTCTATGGTTACAACCGCCACGTTTAGACTCAATCAAAAGTGTTAGATGGCGAATTATTGATGTTTAATATCGATAGGTTGCTGATACTACATAACTCCTTTTCGATTGATTGTTTCAGATTCGAACCGAAATTTAAAGCAATTACTAACGAATTCGTAAATAGCAATACTGCAAAGACGTTTTTTAGGTAGTATTGGTAACAAATTTCGTAATTAAATATGGTAGAATATAAATTTAGTCGCCAAGTGCGCGATTTTTTTAGCAATGGAATTTAACCTGGAAGATTGATAACGTACCATACACTTACAGGGGGATTTGTAAACAAAAAAATATTGATTTTATTCGTATACAAAGGACAAACATTTGTTTAGTGCTTCCGCGTGCCAAATAGTTGACGAATGTGAAATGAATGATAATCGCGGTATAAATTTAGAGAATCTCAAGTTTTAATTTGGTTTTTCATCAAATTTCATCCCGTAAGTATACTTAACTTTTTAAAATAATGATGTTTGTTTTACAGCGACGTGAATGTTAATTAAGGAACTCGGGGATTTAATACGTGATTATTTTCTCTATGAAGATTCAAATTAATGCGACTGTTCTTATAAATGAAATCGAAGTCGGCATTTTAAATTTATACTTGAGAAAGGGTGAACTATTAAATATTTGGAGGTTAACATTCTAATCTTCAAAGCAAAATCAACGCTTCCCTCAAATAATTCAGTTAAAGAATTGAATAGCTCTCTCGTTTCGAGAGAAACGTTTTCATTTTAGCAACGTTAAATTGGTTTCGAAGAGCGCCGCTTTATTGGACGTTAAAAGAGTAACAACACGAGTGAAAACTGAATGGCACTTGTCCGCGATAAGAACGTAAGTTATATAATAAACACCGAAGCAATAATAGTATTTCACTTAACGCGTAGTGTACTCATTTTTAACATTAATTTTATTAATGTGCACCGCGCCAGGTTTTGGCAGTTAAAATAACGTTTACTTTAGAAAATTTAAAGTCTCCTGCGGTTAAAAAAAAAAATTAAAGAATGCCCTTATCGATCCGATGCGGCTGCGATTTTTTAAAATCGTTTCTCAAGTACAATATCAGGAATTTTTTTTGTTTGCAAAAGCTATTAATCCTTACGGAATTTTTACATATAAAAAGGAATCGTTGTATTGTATATTGTTTGAAAAATAAAGTATAAAAGTATTAGCTTTATGCTGTTTCGTAATTAATTAATTCCGAATGATGATTACAATATAACACGTCCGATTCGAGCGCGTAACGCACCGGCTGGCTCTCGTATTGAGTGAACAGTAAATTCATGAGACAAAACGAGATACTATTTTTGGAAATGCCTGTAACCTTTGGATAAATGGGTTGCAATCCGGTTTTAATGTATATTACTAGATGATTCGTCTTCAGCCGGGAAAAGAGTAGAGAAAAAATATTACTTATCTGATCACTAAATGAAAATTGCGAAGGTTTGAAAAGACGAGCAAAATTATGAAAATTTGACGGTTTCTTCCAAGTTGCAAATTGATCTTGTGTTAAATCTGATTTTGTATTACTGACGCATAACGACAAAGTTCTCTGGAATTAATAACTAAACCAATAGATTATTAATAGTAATCTCAACCGACTTAACTATTCAGACGAGGTTCAGTTGAAGAAGTTAACATTTTAGATCCGATAGCTATAAAATGCATTTAGCGTTACCGCTCGTTTGATCTACAGTTGATAGCGTCTTTGAATAATAATTCCATTTACGGTTTCGATTATGAATTCCTTAAAACGATTATCAATATTCAAAATTTTCTTGACGCTAGGTGAAAGTATATAGATCAAGATTACTGCGACTTCGAAGACATTGGTACCCGCCAATGGCAGGTAAGGAATTCGTGTTAAACTACGAATGTGAAGGGGTCTAATCCGGTAACTGATTCTTTTTTTAAAAAGAGATTAATTTAGTTATAAGATTCATGTGTTGGGTGTACTAAGTACAGTAAGTCGGACTTGCGAGCATATGTGGTTCCTAAAACCTAAAATACCACAAACTCTCCCGTTATTTCTTAAGGTTGAAATTTGTACTTCGTTTCGGCATAATCCAGCTATTCTACCCTCTTCCCCAAATATTACATGAGTAAAAACACAGTGAACTTTTTCTGTCCGCGATCATAAAGCTGCATGAGAAGACAACGAAAATAAAAAAAAATTCTCGTGCTCCAATTTGAGACTAGATAGTGTGCTCACTGCGATGCCATACGCCATTTTTGGTCGATACATGTTATGTCTGATCTTTTTGTATAAAATGAGAGACGGTTCGGCTCGTAATTGCACAAATAGTTCCGAAAAATATAGACCATATTCCAAAAAATAAAAGAAATCCATGAACAAAGAAGGAAAATACGAATGCAAAATGGTTGAAATGATAGTTGCAAACTTGCTACTTGGTGAGAATGAAAACAGTAACGCTATGAATGGTTATGCAGAATATTCAGATATTGTAGGTCTAATTGTTATTTTTTTTTTAAATAAAATTGTTCTGTGTGCACTTTTTGTTTCAGTTTGACAGACAAATATATCAAGCAAGTAGCTTAATCTTACGTTACTACCAAGTTGGAAAGGACATGATATTTTTAAAAGTTGCTTCAATGTAGAAATGATTATTAGTAAATTCATTGTTATTGAGAGGATGGCTGGAAAGTCATGAAAAGAGGAAAAACAAATGTAGTTACGAATCCTATCTATTCAGTAAAAAAAAAATTGTTTAAACAACCATTCTTGAAAAGCATGAATGCTTTCTTCTAACTGAATATGGATGATGATTAATAAAACAAAATGTATTGTGTAAAAGTTTACGTATTGTTCCTCTTCTATTTAAACTGTAAAATACATTTTCATTTCTGAAATAAAATGTTCTTTTCTAATTTCAGATTTGAAGTAATTTTAATGAATAAATAGAAATAAGTTGTAATTACTATTTATTTACTGTACAATAAAATAATGGATAGAACATTCTCGTAGTAATCCTATGGTCCGAAAGACCAAAATGGTCGGCGATCATGTTTTAGAACATCTCGTTCGTGATTAGCGTGTGTGTGTATATACTGCGCATTTATATATATACAGTAATTGTGAATTGGTCACTCGTTATATCGAGTGTTTCGCTTCGTAAGTAGAATGATCGCCTTTTGAAGCTCTAAACTCGACCTATCAGTTGTGTAACCACCACTACAAACACCGCGGCTGTGGTAATGCAATCCGTAGTGTATTGATCACGCGACAGGTAGCTTTACCTCGATCTTCAAGCGATGCTAGGTAAGCAGGAATACAGGAATAGGGATGTATTAGGAAACCCGTACACCCAGCAGCTATGGTAATAATTTAACAAATTCAAACACATTTAAATCGAACTTACTCTTACGTATTCGTGTTATATCCGTAAAATATTTGCACACGCACAGTAAAAGTAGAAAAAGAAATTTTTTTGAGTAGTTCCATACTCGAAATTTATTTTATTTGCATTGAGTTTTAATTAAACATTACTCGTCTGGAGAGGTGTACTCGCGGAAATTAGAGCTAAAGCGCGGGCCATCTGCCAGCCATAAATATGAACTGCTACAATGAATACAGTAGAGCGTCGATTATCCGAAAGAATTCCAGTCGGCAAATTTAAATTTTCTCAGGTGCTGTAGCGCTGCAATCTTGGGCTACTCAAATATTTTACGTTTTTGATACTAAATTAACTTCTGAAGTATAATTTTTTATTGTTTTTATATTTTTCAATATATTTATTTTGTTTGTACAAAAAAAAAAAAAATTTTAACGATACAATAGTCTTCGTTAGGCTTAACATCGACGAAAATTCAACGCGAAGAGACACGCAACGGAGAAAAATTTCAACATGGGATAGGTTAATATATTTGTTCGTACATAATCAGTTATCCGAAATATCGTTTTTTTCCTCCGAACAATCCCAGTCCCCAATTGATTCGGATAATCGACGCTATACTGTACTATAAAATGGCATTAATCAGGATTGTATTCACTTCTAAGTTTGCGGTTTTCTTTGTGACAAGATCATAAAAGCGAGGAATTTAGGTATGAAATATATTTCGAAATTAGGAATATCAAATACTTTGATACCCGAAGTACGATTACATAATTCCGAATACTTTATGCAGTAAGTAGATCTATTTGACATTAATATTTAAATCAGATACAGTATCGTGTTCGATCAAGTCCCGACGGATCGACAGAATGGCTGAGCAGTTAAGGTAAGCGCACATTTTGATCAGACTGAATCACATCACTGTGTGCACGCCTGGTCGCATTTCAGTGGCGGCTCGAGCAGAATTTAAAGCAAAAGAATGAGTTGTTTTTATTTTTGTTTTTCTTTCCGTCCTGTGGGCACTAAGAGGGGCCTCTTTTAGCAAGCCAATTATGGGTTCGGCCAGGACCACAATGGGGCGGCTGGGTGATGAGGGATGGGACCCGTTTATTAATTTTAGTAATAAAATTATACGTTTCACATTCGGATGACCGAAACGGCATCATCCTACTGCTCTGCTGATCGAACTTCGATCCGCAGAGCAGTACAATCTTGCGTTCCATAATCTATGATCGAGCCAGGAGAGCAATCACGGGGATTTTTTATATCGGGATTTGTTGGGTTTCGTCTTTCACTACCGGATCGCTCCCTTTGTGTGCCTCGCCGAACTCTCGATGCGTATGCTTTCTATTTTTAACTTACCACCTTGTGCGCGCTAACAAAGTCTGTTTTTAGGAAGCCCATTATAGAATCAGCTAGATGGTGGACACTGGGCCCGACATATCCGGACGGACCACCACCAAAAATTTCTGGGGTGTTTTAGATCTGGATTCGATCCCGAGTCTCCCAGAATTCCAATCGGCTATCCGGCTGTCGATGGGTTTGATTTTAAAAAGGCTCCTTCAGTCAAAGAAGGCCAAAATGAAAAAAGTTATATATAATAATAGTTTTAAAATGCTAATTTTTAATATCAAATTTAATAAACCTAGGATGTGCGCTATTTTAATAATTTTCAGACAACTCACTGATAATGTTAAATTGCAATTGCCACTAACATTATCAGTAAGTTGTCTGAAAATTATTACAATAACCAGATTTTATTCTATACACACATACACTGGCCAAAACAATTAGAGGAACATGTGTCTTTGACAAAAGTTTGCAAGTCAAATGTATGATATATTGCCGAAACGTTAAAAATTCAACTGGAGTACACTGATCATCATATTCGTGAATAATAGGGCCGAGTAATCTTTCATGAACATCGAATTCTCTTTGAGGCCGGATGGCCGAGTGGTCAAGGTGGCAGCCTATCGCTCTGGGGGACCCGGGATCGAATCCACACAGGTCGAAAAATTCCTGGGAATTTTTCGAGGATGGTCCGCTTGGATATGTCAGGCCCCGTCCCTCACCACCTGGCCACACCATTGTGGCCTAGCCGTACCCATAATGGGCTTGCTAGAAAGGCCTCCTTAGTGCCCACAGGATGGAAAGAAAAAAGAGACACAGACACTATACAAATGAGGCGAGTGCAGAGATCTCCCGTTTCAAATTTTGGTACGTAAATTTTCGATCATGAATAATCGAATTCCCGAATACTGCCTCCAGATGTAGTGAATTTCTATATATTTTATTTAACACTAGCTTACCCGTCGCGCATTGCTGCGATCTCAGAAGAAAGGGAATTCAAGCAAACTCGTTATGATAAAATTCAATTTACATTTTATCATTTTTATTGAAACTTATTATTATTATTCATTTTCATCGGGAAAACATTTCAAAGTGTCGTTTCAATTCTATTTATTTATTGGAGTGTTTGTGGATACACGATATTTTTTGTTTTTCNACACCAGTTTGAACATCCCTTTACGGTACTGTTGCTTGTCAAGTTGCTTGAAGTAGTCCAGAACGGTATCTTTTCAATTCCTCCTGATCCGCAAAGCGTTTCCCCGCCAAAAATTTCTTTAAAGGCC